GAAAGATAGCTGTAAAGATTATTGAATAGAGAACACCAGTAATAAATATATATCCATTTAGATTCCTATTGTAGAAACTGTGAGATTTAGTCTCGAAATTGATAGATATAGTGAAGAAATACAAAATCTATATTAAAGATTTTATATAGAGAATATTTGTTTATAACCTCATTGTATTCCTACAGCTTGGTTTTCTTCTTTAGATGGAATGGATAAAGTAGTTAAACCTATCATAGATATCCTAAAAAGAAATTTCTAAGATTTTGTTGACATAGGAGAAAATGTTAAAATTTATTAATAATTAAAATTAATTCCAAATTTGAATTTACCTTTGGAGAAAGATGTAAATGAATTTATGAACAAATTACCAGTAATTTAAGCAAATTAACATAAATAATGTCAAGGTATGTTAATGACATTCTTGATTTATTGTAATGTTAGAGGAATTTAATTGAATGTATCAATACTCAATACATTATTTACAATAGCAAGTAAATTTATTTGTATTACTCATTCACACTTTTTCTATAAATTATCAAATCCTGTTTTTGGTGATAAATTTGATTCAGAAGCTCAAGCATTTTGGTTATTTGCATCATTCTTAGATTTAATGAGAAATATTCGATACCCATTAATCAAAGATGATGCCTAATTTTATCCTTAAGAGACAGTCATATAATATTTGGAGTTTCAACATTAAAATTTGATAAAACATTGCAAAATTTATGATATTGCTATAGAAAATATTATATATGAAATTCTAATTTGTTTTTACACTAATATAGTTTAATCATTACCTTTATATAATATTTGGAGTTTAATAATAAGAAAGATGTCAACAAATAAGAATGTTTATCTTATAGTATTAATTGTATTGATAGAAGAATTAGGAGATAAATTATTGGTTTGTTAAAATACAGAAGATTTTAAAAATGCCATATCCTTATAAGGTAATTAATCAATGAGAGATTTTAGCTTAGCTTATGGATATTCTTCAATTAGAAGCTGCATATTCAGGTTGTGAATCAACTTTGAATAGAATTATTAATTCAGAGCAATCTATACATCAATCAATTGAACACTCAAATATCCATGAGCCTTTGATATAGGACCAATGATTTATAAAAATAATATGTAATTAAATTAATCAATCAGTCTTAGATATTATATTTTGTTATACTCTTATAAAATGTATAAAATTAATCATCATTTTTTATTTCTATTCTTATCTTAAATCTATTGAATTTTATCATACAATAATTCAATATCAATTTAATCTATAAGTTTTGGTTCTTAAGCCCAATCACCTACCAAATATTCAACTCTTCCAATCATTTTAGTTCTTAATTCTCTATATTAAGTTTCATTTAATTGAATTGGTAATTCTCCTCCTATTTTTAGAGTTGTTCCTTTTTTGCCAATAAATAAAGTTTCAGTAGGTTCAATTTCTTCAATAAGTCCTTCTACATGTAAAGATTCAGCAACAGTTAATTATTATGCTAAATTTTAAATTTCTGGTAATTCTGGATTGAATCTAATTAATAAATTAAAATATATTACTTTTATTCTTAAATCACTTCATCTCTTTCATTTTATACTCCTAAAATAAGTTCTGCTCTTATGGATTCTAATAATTTTTTTTATTCATTGAAGCTGATTTGAATGTATTCCTTAAATTCAGTTTCTGATAAAAGAAGATCTGGATGATAAATTTCTTCTACTGTTTCTTAAACTAATTCTTTAAACCATTATTCAATTGGTTAATAACAAAACCATTTTTTTTTCAAAGCTCTTTCTAAATATTCTTTTTATTATTAAAGTTCTTTAGGAGTAATCTCAACTTATCTTTCTGCAATCAAATCTAATTATTTAAGTTAATGACTAAGTCCTATAATTAATCTCTTTTTATTCTGTGTTTTAAGTCCTTATATTTTACCATATATCTCAATTTCTTTTTTAGTAGCTAAATGTAAATCATCTCTAAAAGCAACACGTCTCTATATTTAACCTCTTCTATATTTTGGTAAATTTTATCTATAAAATATGCTCATTTTATGTGATTTACTTTCTAAAGCACTATATACATCATCAGGAGTAGTTTAACTAATTTGTTTTTCTTCTAATCCGGCTATTTAATTTTCATAATTAGTTTTAATTTTTAAACTTAATAGATTAGTATATATTGCTTTAGATTTGAAACTTGGCCATTTACTAGATTTAAGAGTCATAATATAATCTAATAATTTATCAGATTCTACTAAAGTCTTTTATCTATAAGTATTATATAATGTTGCTGCTGCTCTCAATTTATCATTTAAATAATCTAATAGTTTTTCAAATTATTTAAAGTTTTATATTTAAAATCCATAGTCTTATTAAAATTTCAAAGCTTAGACTTCATAATTACCACCTTATTTAAATAAACAATACATTTCTTCTAATTTACATAATAGAATATATGAAAAAGAAAACATAAGATTACTTTCAATTACTTTGAAAGAATCTAAAGTTAAAGCTTCATTAATTTAATCATCTATTATTGCTAATTCATTTAAATGTTTGAATTTTTTTACTCTCATTCTATATATAGAAATCAATAATTATTCAAACATATTTTATAATGGTTTGAATTCTTCTGGACATCTAAAGAAGTCAGCCATAATTTTGCTTAAATTTTCATCTGCCTATATTAATCCTTCAAGATTAGTTGGAATCTCTTCCTTCTATTTAAGTTGATTTATTTCTAATTTCATTTGATTAATTAACTCTTCTTTATTTACTTATTCTACAGGTTCTTTTTGTAAATTAATTATAATTTCTTCTTTATTTTCTTTTAATAATTCTAATATTTCTTTAACTTCTTTTCCTTCTAAATATTCTTATATATTATTAAATTTATTTGATTAAGTAACATTTTAAATAACATTCTTATAAAATTTATCTATTTATTAATTAAACTCTTGATACAGATCTCCATATCTAGTTTCATATAATTTATTTCTTATATCTCTAGCTCTAAATATTTAATCTGTTAATTCTTTATCAACTATTTTTTCAGGTAATTCATTTTCATAAAAAGATTTTCTATCATCTTTTGGAAAAATCAATAATCTTTACATAGATTTATTCCATGCTTATTATTTCTTTAAAACTTCTATTTCATCATAATCTTCTGTTAATTTGTGATTCAAAATAGAATTTCTTACTAATGAAAATAATTCTCTTTTAGGTTTAATAGATGCAATTTTGGCAACATTTGAATAACTATTAAATCTTGCTTGATTAGCCTTTTCAAAAAATGAATTTATTGATTCTTCTAAAATAGTTCCAAAATCTTTAATATTATTTATATAAGTTTGTCTTTCTTCTAAATACTTTTTAAGATTTTCTTCATATCCAACTATACTTTTCAATTTATCCATATTAATTTTAACTTCTCTTTTCAATTCAGCAATTTCAACTCTCATTTTTCTAAGATCTGAAACTCTAATTGAACCATCCATTACATGTTCATTATTTTTCATAAAAGCAGCAACATCAATTTCTTAATTGGCTCTATCAATTAAACCCTTTCTAAGATTTTGCTCATTTAAAAAGACTCTAATATTATCAGGATATTCAGTATAAAAATCTTTAACTGGTTCAAGAGCATCAGATAAATAATCAATTGAAGGACTAACTTAACTGAAAAATGAATCAATATTTTAAACTCTTTCTTATTTCTCCATTTAACCACTATTAGCCAGATTTGAAGCTACATTGTGTTCAGCAACTAAACAATCTCTCCATTACCATTTTTGTGCTTATCTTATTAATTTGAAAGTAAGTTCAAGTGATAATCTTGGTTATGCTTCTAATTCTTTTAAGATCTCTTAAGCAAATTAATTTTATTCAGCTTTCAATTTATCCATAATCTCTTAAACACTATCTCCACTAAAACATCTGGCTATCAAGGCCTTATCTAATTTAACTAAGTTTTCTCTTGATATTATTCCCATTTCTTCTAAACTATCAATGTTCATTGTTTTAAAGTGAAGATATGGATTAGCTATAGTTTATTTAGGCTTATCATTCTTTTGATTTAAAACATTTTCTTCTTAAAATCTTTTTAGTTTATATAATAATTCTTATGCCACTAATTAAGCATCTTCATTTTTCATTCTAATCATCATTTCTTCACTCAATTTTTTTAAGAATATCTTTTATCCTTTTCTAAAATTTTAAATTTCACGTTTAACTTATTTTGGATACATTTAAATAGTATTAGGTGTCTTATATTATTATGTTGTTTAATTGATATATTCAATAGCTTAATTTTTATCTTTCAAATTTCCATATATCAACTCTAAATTTAATGCTTCCTCATTTTTTAACCATCTACCAGTCAAAGCATAAAATAATCCTAATTAATCAGGCAATCTAGATAAATGAAATGTAGCACTATTATTCTTTTACATATTTACCCTGCATGTGGTACAAATCCTCTATTAACATCATTAAATCTTATGCCTCCTTTTTAATCAAAAAATTAGAATGGAGTTGAACATGCTAATGCTGCCATTGATCCACTTGCTTCTCCTGTTATTATAGGCATCAATATTTTATTGTACTTTCCAAAATAGACTGCCAAATTTTATATTTGTCTCAGATATTCAATCTTGTCTTATTAAGATAAGTGTTATAAATCTAATTTTTTGTTAAATTTGCATACATTTCAAATCTGTTCCTTTAGATTAACAATCTAACCAAATAATATTCACTGTCTCATCTAAATCATAACTTTCCAAAAATCTATGAATTTAATTTAACATAGTTGGAGTCAAAATATTATGCTTATGATAATGATTAAGTTTTGCAAACACCTATTATCCAAATTGCTCTCCTAATAAATGTGATTGTTTGATTTCAGCATCGAATCTAACAACATTTTATGATCGAAGCACTTGAGTTGAGATATAGGAATACTTAATTTTAAGCATCATAAATAAAATCTTAATTAATCAAACCAATTTCTCAAGACTAATACGGGCTTCCAATATACTCTTCAATAACTCTGGTTTGTATTTATATAGAAAAGGATAATCTTCACTCAATTTATCTCTCTTGATAGAAGTCTATCCTGTATATCTTGTCTTTTTCTTTTTTTTATTCTCTACCATATTACTCTTTCTTTAAGTAAGAATTGGTAAATCAACATCAAGTAATGATCCAGCTCTTTCCTGACGATATGTATTTGGTGTTTATCTTCTTGAAACATCTAATGAAACTTATATAATATCAGATTAAATTGGTTTAGGTCTTTATTCATATCTGAATATTGGTTAATATGATTGAATTTTAAATTCCTATTCATTAAGATCTTATTCTTTTTAAAATTATCTATATAATAATATGATTATTTAATTTACTATTATAAAACAAAAGTATCTTCTAAATCTTTTGGTTATAATTTAGGAATTCGATCACAATTTCTAGCAAATTTTAATCCTCTTATTTCTCGTTTCATATTCAAATCAACTGTTGGTTAAAGAGTCTAAAAATGAATTTCTCTTGATTATTGATTCACTTAAGTTAACTCCATAACTCTTTATTTATCTTAAAATATTCTATAAATAATTACATAATTATAAATAATATTCCAATTCTGGATCGAGTTTTACTCCTGCAATTTCATTAAGAATTAAATTAATATGCTCCTTTATTTCCCTTAAACTAACTTTTTTATCTATTAATTCTTTGAGTTCTTCTTTTAACATCAATAAATATCTTTTTGGATCTTCATCTTTTCCAATTTTAGGCATTGAAACTGAATGAAATTATCCTCTTTTAATAGATTTTTATCTTTTAATTCTATTATTATTTTTTTTATCTTCATTTTCTTAATCCTACTCTTCTTCTGAAGATTCATCTACTGCTTCCCTATTTCCTGTTTTATGTCTACTTTTTCTTACATCTTATTATGTTTACTATTGATTTTCAAAAGGTTTATTAATAATCTCTAATTTTTATTATTATTCTTTTTTTGTTTATTTATTGGAATCAATTATTTTAGTTACTGATTTTTAAAATCTTTTAGTTTTTTCTGGACTTTTTGTACTTCTTTTAGATTTTTAAGGAGATAGATCACTTGATTATTAAGAAATTTAATAATTATTAATTTCATCTAATTTAGAATCTTATATTTAATTATTATCTTTAATTTAATTAATTTAAAGATTAGTATCTCTACCTTATGATTTATCTTATCTTGAGTGTTTACTATCCCTTGATTATTATTTAATATCATTACGTTATTCATTAGTTTTTAAATTATTTTTAATTGATGTTTATCTTGTTAATTTATTTGGTGAAATTCTTTTAATATTTTCATTTTCCACATATGTTTATTGTTACTAAATTATTTATTCATCTGATGCTTCTTCAATACTATCTACTTTTGATCTTTTATTTTAAATAGAATTATAATTGCTTGTATTTCTAGAAGTTCTAGCTGTTGTATTATTAGATAATGATCCTGGCATTGAAGATGGAACATTATATCCATAATCTAATTTCACTTAATTTTCAATTTGTTCTTTATATTTTTTATCTTCTTTTGAAGATATACTTCTACTTTAATTTTAAATATCTACACTCTTTTCTTTATCCAAAGATTCTAATGTATTTTTTCTAAAATTACTAACATTATCATCTTTTGATATATTTTCAAGTTCCTCTTAAAGTTATCTTAATTCATCCTTTTCTTTATCTTAACTAAACACTTTATCTTTAAATTTTTATTATGAAATTCTATTTTATTATACAAAATCACTTAAAAGTTTGATATCATCATTAATACTGTTACTAGTATTCTTATTATTTAAACTAATGCTCATATTATTATTACTCTAATTTTATTATATATTATATTAATGATGACTGATAGTATTTTATGTTAGATTCTTATTTCCATTTGAATCTTTATACACATTTTCAAATTATTTTTAATCTTTATAATCAAGTTTCTAATAAAATTACATACTATTTTTTTAGAGTTATTCTTTTGAAGTTTTATCAGAATGTTTAAAATTATCTTCATAAGCAGGTTTAATTATATCTTCAAGAGACTTCAAAGATTACTGAGACCATTAAGATTATAACATTTTTTCTTATCCTTAAGATTAAATCCTATGAGTATTATTTTAATTACTACTATTGTTATTAGATCTACTATTATTCTCAGATACCATAAGTATTCTTCTTTATGGTGAAGTACTATTAGCTTATTTTTATTAAGTTTTATAATTTTGTTATTTAGCATATTACAAAAATGGTTTCTGTAATTAAGTTGAAACATTATTATTGGATCGTTATTCTATAATTGGTTATTAGAATTATTAATTTGAATCATTATTCTACTTTTATCCTAAAATATTCTAAAATATATCACTACATTCCCTACTATTGGGAACTTCAGAATATTATGGAATTGAATCTTCAGAAGAATGCTCCTTTTTAATAAGATTTTTCTGTTCTTCATATTATACTCTAGCTTATTATAATGCATCTTCTTGTAAAACTGAATTATTAATAGATATATTATTAAATTCCTCTTAAGCAATCTTAGATAAAGTATCCATTATAGTTTTATGAGTACTTAATTAAATCTAATCTCCAACTTTAATTAGTTCTTTAAATTATTATTCAGTCTTATTTAATTCAAAATTCTTTCTTGCTTTTACTAGATTAGCATCTAATCCAACATTTGTTGCTAATTAAAGTAATTCATCAGAAAATAAAGTTTTCTCTTATTACCATCTTCGAAATTTACTCTTTGTATTATTAGATGTAAGTGTGTATTCTTTTTGCCATTCATTTACAGTTTTATCGAATTCCTTTTATATTTAATCAACAGAGTTAAATAGTTTTTTGATTTCTAATACTTTTATAAAATTTTCAGCATCTCCTGTTCCTTTTATTCTATCCTAAACTATATTCTTAAATGTAATGTAGTCATAATACCCTAAACTTTAAATTCCTTATTCAGAAATCAATTATATTATTCTGTTAACAAAAACATCCTATAACTGAAACAATGATTTATCTTTATGTTCTTATCCTGCATGTAAATCTAACACTTAATATGTTACAGATTTTCGATATTCAGGAATTTATCTAGATGGAAAAGGTGGATTAGGAGATTTCACATTTCTTAGAATTTCTTAATAAAACTTTAGATCATCCTTTTATTTTTACATCATCAATTTACAATATTCAGGATTTTATCTAACTTCTTCAGGACTCTATAGTATATTAATAGGAATAGTTTATTTGAATTTACGTGCTTCTTCTATCCACCATTAATTAATTGCGAAATGTCTAAAAATATGTTTAAAGAAATCCAGATTCAATTCTTCTTAGAATCCTCCACTATGTTATTATACAAAATTGATATAATTTCTTATTGGAAATGGAGTATGAAGTGAAGAATCAACTCTCTTAATTTCTTTCCTTTCCCATTTTGGAACTAAATAAACATTTGTATTCCATTATTATCTTGAATCAACTAAAGGTGGTTTATGCTGACTAAGACCTAATTCATTTGTTGGAGGTGTTTGTTATAATTCTTACTTTGATTGCTAAAATTTATGTTTTAGCTTATTATAAAATTACATTTAATATCAAAACTTGAAATTATAACATTCATTAAATCTTCATTGTTCATCTTCTAAATAAATCATTAGAATATATTTTAAATATTCTCATACTAATATTATATAAACTTAAATATTTACTAAATATATTTGAGTAAATAATTTATATTTTTTTGTACTTAATTTATTCATGTTTTCAAAGAATCTCAATCATTCATTATTTTACATATATATATATATTAATTATATACATTATATAGGATAATTAAAGCTAAATTTAAATCAATTATAAAATCATTAAGATAAAGATTTTATTCATTTACTCCAATCTCTAAAATCAATCCATTATAATTTATTTATTCCAAAATATTTTATTTTAGAAGTAGTATGTCTGTTAATAAGTCTAATTATTACTATATGTATTTACTTTTTAGTTATTTAAATAACATTATAACTAGACACAGGTCTTTTTGTAGTTCTTTCATATCTATACTTATATAGCTCTAAAAATGAGATTAATGTATTTTCTTTATTATTACCAACAGGTAATTGTTCACAATCTCCCCAAATTGAATGCTCCTCAAATTCTTAATCATTCTCATTAAACCAAATTTACTATGACTTTTTTAGATACCTTAATTAATTTCTCTTTGTTTTTGGTGAGAATGATCTATCACTTTTGCATTCTAGAAACATCTCTGGACAAATTTATGTTTATAAGGATTGTACAGAATTCTACTCTGACTTTAAAATTTTTGAGTTAGTTGATTATTAAAAATCCAGTTTAAGTGTTTCTGAAGTGAAATCGTTTTTTATTCTCAAATGCATCTAATTTTTTATATAAAGCCAATATTAGAAAATAATTATAATTCTTACCTTAATTTAGACTAATATATCATATTTAAATCCACAAAATTAGACAAATTATAGTTATTATAATATTTTTAATCAGTTTATTTGTACAAACTTAAAATGATTAAGTTTATATGAAATAATTATATAATTCATATTTTCACCTTCTTATTTATTTCCTCTCCATTCATCCAAGATTAAATTTAATTCTAACATTTTGTAAAAGTATCAAAATCAATATTATCTATGATAATTTAGAATCTCTCTTTGTTAACTTCAACAAAGGCACTTGGACTACTAGTCTAAATGATCTTAACTAAAGCACCTATTTAATCAGGATTTAATTATTTCAGATTGTTTGAGAACTCAACTTTCTCATTATGTGATATTGTTTATTGAGTTTCTTCTTAAACTACTTCTTCAGTAACCTTTTTAACTTTTATTGAACTTTAAGGTATATTAATTAATGGAAGATAATTTTTCACATATTTTTTAAAGGATTTTTCTAATTTCTCAGATAGTTTAGTAATCCACTAAAATAAGAATATATACTTACACTTGAAGGACCATTATACAACTTGCAATTATCCCATATTTATTAGATATCATTTAAACATTCTTCTACACATTTATACTCTGAATTTTATAATTTTTTCTAACAAGTACCCAAATCCATAGGTTTTTTAATTACACTTAAATAATCATGCAAACCTAGTGTTTTATGATCAACAGGTTATCGAAATTCTAAACTATCATTTGAATCTATAAGCTATTATAAAATTTGATTTAATTTTTTCAATTCCTCCTTATTAATGGGTGTTTGATTTTCTTTGATCATTCAATAATTTTTTATATTTATTTTCTTCAATTTCTAGATTAAATTGATTATAAACATAATAATCATATATTTATTTTGCTAAATATAAATATATGATTATTTTTAATTGATATATTTTTAGATGTATATTAATACATAGTAATTTAATGATTGAATGAGTACTAATCAAACAATATTTGGACATAAATTCACTAAAATTAATTAGGAACTTATGTAAGTAAAATAATTTATTATAAAAAGTTTAAAAGGTCTCTTTTATTAAATATTTATTACTTATTTTTAAATGGATTATGTTCTTTTTCTTTATTGAAAACCCATAATTTTGAATGGAATTGATTTAATAATTAGTAGATAATCTTAAGTTTTATTGGAATTAGAATATATAAATTAATTATTTTCAATAATGTCTAAGTAAAATAAAGGATAAAATCAAAATTAAGATGGATTAACATAGGAATTGGATGCTTAACGAAGAGACCTTATGAAAGCAATATCAACTCATAAAAATATGAAAGATCGTCTTGATAGAATGTAACTTCTTGTAATAGGAATTTAGGGAAAATGAGAGAGATAAATTTGGGAATGAGAATGTAGAGGTGAAAAGGAAATTATCTGATGAAAAAAAAGAATTAATAGATTTGATTGAATTTCATAAAAAGGAAAAGGAAGAGTTGAGAGAGGAAAAACAGAAAATTGAGTTTGAGTATGGAGTTTTACAAAGGAAAATGGCTGATATAGATGAAGATTATAGTAAGATGAAGTATTTATTGAACTAGAAAAAATGATGGAGAAATAAAGACAACTGTTTGAAGCAGATAAATAACCATTATTAGATAAAATAAAATATTTAGAAGCCCGATTAGAGAAGATTGATAGTTTTCTATAAACAAAAGCAGACTTAGAAAATGAAAGAGCAAAATTGATAGAAACATTAGCATAAGAAAGGAAAGATAAATAAAGAGAATTGGCAGATAAAGAGAAAGAAAAAGTTAAAGAAACAGGTAATGATATTATTATGTATTTATATAGATCAATTAAAGAAAGAAATGCTTCATAAAATTCAAGAAACAAAGTCATCTTTATTAGCATTAAAAAAAGAATAATTAGAAACTACAACTAGATTAACAGTTTTACAAAATCATTAACTGACTACAGAATTAGAATATCAATCAAAATAGACAGAAAAATTATTATTTAAGAATTCAAAATTATCAGAATAAGTAACAAGTTTAAAGAGAGATATAGAAATTCATAAATAAGTTGAATAAGAATTAGCAAAGAGATCTCATTTTTCTTAAAAATTAATTAAAAAATTGACAGCAAAGATTAAAGAATTAGAAGACTAATAAGAATAATAATAATTAGAAGAATAAGAATAGAATCCATAATAAAAAGAAATTCCTTAAGAAGTTGAAAAGATGAAAGAATAAGAGATCATTTAATTAGAAAAGAAAATAGCAAAATTATAAAATGATAATGATATTTTAAGAAATGAAAATAATCATCTTCTTACAAGATTAGATACTATAAGATTAGAAGAGAATAAGTTTGCTAATTTATCTGTTATTTTAGCAAATAATTTGGAATATTTAAAGAATAATTCTAATGAAGATATAAAAGATGTGATAGATTTATAGGAATTGTAAATGATAATTATTATTATTGTTTAGACGAGAAAAGAGTGTTAATGATTGGACATCAAATTAAAAAACTGCAATAATGAGTATTCTATTAATGTAAGCTTAACAATATCTTACAAAAAAGAATTTAAATTTGTCAGATACTAATTAAATGAATATTAATAATACTATGGCAGAGAATGTCACAATAGTAGATAATGCAAATAAATCAGTCTAATTGCCAAGTATCTCATAAATTTTATTGTGAAGAAATAAAATAAGATGAAGAACAAACATCCCAATAAGTCTCAAAAAGATTTTAAGGTGTCTCACTAGATATTAGTACTTAAATAGTGAAGAGTAATTTGAGAGATTGGGGTAAACCTGCAGCATCATAGCAATCTAGCTAGTTATCCAGAAAATATAAGTTAAAATGATTATTAATATTATTATTATTCTACCCTTTTAGGGAGAACAAAAAACATTAATGAAATTGTATCATATTTATAATTCGAATTCATTATATATTATCTATTTTAAATATTTTGTGTCTTTATTATTTTATACTCTTGTTATTACTAATTATTTTCTAATATAATTTAATAGTTCACTATTTGACTATTCTATATTATAGTTCTTATTCTTAATAAAGACAATTCAAAAATATTATCATATGTGATGCTTATAAATAATATTTATTTTGACTTTATAAGTGTAATTAAAAATAAAATTTAACGTAAATTAATTTAATATCTGTTTGCAAATACCTTTTTATACATAAAATGTCAACGAATACAATCAAAATGTTACAATAACGTAATATAGATGTAGAAGTCTCATGTTTTGAGGATAAATTACAAATATCCCCTTCAAAATAAAATAAGGAAAATTCACATCATATTAAGGCAAAGACTTGCGATATGAGTGATCTTATTAAAATGTTAAATAAAGTAGAGATTCAAAGTACTTAATAAGGAGGTATTTTCTAATTAATCGTTTTCCATAGACTAAATCGAAATAGAATAAGATAGTACTCCCAAGAAGTAAATTCAATAAGGAAAAACTTGTAGATATATTCCTTTAAGGAGTGGATAAAAATAAACCTTGATAGAGGAATTTTAATATAGAGAGATCGAAGATGAAAACTAGGAACCTCAGAAAGGAAGTGATTACAAAGATTAAGGAAATGTTTCATTAAAGGATATTTATAAGATGCATGTTTTTGGACAACCATTATAAAATGAATAATTACATTGGGAATCCAAAAATATCTTCAGATACAATGATGATACTCCTTAGAAAAGAAAGATTCTATAAGATATTAATCCTTCAGTATTGGAAACCTATAATAATTTGATGGACTATAGAGAATAATACTAAAATAGTTAGGATTTTTAATACAGTCAAAGGAAAATAAACAAGGTTCCATTTAAAGTTTTAGATGCTCCATAATTATAAGATGATTTTTATTTGAATTTGATAGATTGGAGTTCATAAAATGTTTTATCAGTGGCATTATCATCTTGTGTCTATTTATGGTCAGCCTATAATAATAGAGTAACTAAATTTTGTGATTTTGGAAATAATGATGTGGTTTGTTCATTGATTTGGAATCCTATGGGTAATCAATTGGCAATTGGTACTGGTTCTGGAGAAATCCATATATATGATTAAGAGAAGATGAAGAGAATTTAAATCATAGAAGGTCATTCTGCAAGAGTGGGATCATTGGCCTGGAGTGGTCATGTATATATTTAATATAAATTTTAGACTCTTTGTTCTGGTTCTAAAGACAGATCAATAATACTCCATGATCCAAGATAGAAAAAATAGACTGGTAAATTTGAAGGACATAAATAAGAAGTTTGTGGTTTGAAATGGTCACCAGATGAATATTAATTAGCCTCTGGTGGAAATGATAATAAATTATTTGTTTGGAGATTAGGTTCATAGATTCCTCTAGCTAAATTCAGTCAACATTAAGCAGCTGTCAAAGCTATAGCATGGTCTCCTCATAGACATGGATTATTATCATCTGGTGGAGGAACTGCAGATAGAACTATTAGATTCTTTAATACTTTGACTACTCAACAATTAGATTGGATAGACACCGGTTCATAAGTTTGTAATCTGATGTTCAGTAAGAATGTTAATGAATTTGTTTCCACTCATGGTTATAGTATGAATTAAATAGTTTGTTGGAAATATCCATCTTTGTAAAAGGTAGTACTTTCTTAAAATTTTAGGTCACTACTCTTATGGGACATACTTCAAGAGTCTTATTTTTAGCTATGTCTCCAGATGGAGAAACTATTGTTACTGGTGCAGGTGATGAAACTCTTAGATTCTGGAATGCATTTCCAAAAAAAGAAGAGGCATAACAAATAAATACTATATTGTTGCCTTAGATGATTAGATGAAAGTATTTGAATACTACTTTATATAAATATTAAACAAATTTATCTTATCAGTATAGAAATCTTTGGACTCCTTCGTTAAAGAATCTGGTATTCTGAAGAGTTTCAATGGCTTGTTTCCATTGTTTCCCTCCCCAATTCACTGTTATAAATAATGCAGTGGCCTCACCACAAATATTTTTCTCATTATCATAAACAATTGCTTTCAAAAATACTTTTCTCCCTTAAACTTTTTCAACTTCACAACTTATTAAATAATCTTTATTTGTATGAATAGTATGATTGAAATTAAGTTGGAGATTGGCAGTCACTGAGGGTATGAATCCTGTTGCCAAAAAGCTTAATTATCCAAATGCATTATCAATTAGAGTAGCTAACAATCCACTATGTACATCGTTGTTATTTCCTCTAACTTCATCTGCTGCATTAAATACAATATGAAGATGAGGATTATTCTCGGAACATTTCATATCACCATCTTTAGGTAAATAAACTTTAAAAAAATTGAATGCCTTCTCATTTTGAACTATCATATTATGAAGAAAGTGTCTTTCTGGAGAACTATGAAGAAAGTCGATTATTTTTGGTTATGAGTAGTTTTAGTTTTGAATAAATTCTTAGAAACTATGAGATTCTTCCTCTAAATTGGAGGTCTGTAACATCTTGAGGTAAGGTTAAGAAGCGTTAATGATATAACCACATGCCCAAGCTGCACAAAATGCTATTGATTTCTTCATTATTAAGTTATTTTTAGATTAGATTTGATAAATGATTTACGCCTGGACTTAAAATTTTATAAAATACTATTATTGCGTATTAACATCAAATTAAACAATTTTATTAAATATAATAATATGATTGCATATTATTATATTTAATAAAATTTATTTATTCTAAAAATAATTATTGATAATTTTCAAAACAATTGCTCTTTTTATATATAATTTTTCATATAATTAAAATTCATTAGGTTAATTAAGGTAGTATTTCTTATGTTTATTAATAATCCCTAATAATAGTCGATCTCAAAGGTTTGGGCATATCACATTTTAATATTTTATGAACCCATTTTGTGAGTAATCTTCTGGCTTTTATTTCACATTTTTTTATTGTACCTGAACAACCTAAAATTCTAATTTTGATGGGAACTCCTTTAAACATATTCATAAATATGAGAGTTGACCATATTATATTTTTATAATCTCTAGCTACTCTCAATATAAACAATCTTGAAATAGTATTTAAGTATTTTACTATTAAAAATATTTAAAAAATATACTTTAAAAGGAAAATTAAATTTTTGCAGATCCAAAGTCACCATAATGATATTAAACTTAATCTCTAATTTCATTTAATAGATCTCTCTCTGAAAATTCTTTCTCTTAATTCTCTTAGATATATTCACATATAAAGTATCGATTCTTAAATCTGACCATTTTAATTAATATTTTTTTATTTATTTATATACTCTCATAAATTTGCTTTAATACCTAAATTTTTCTTCAACTATTCTCCAACCTTGACTATGAATTCCTCAGTATTCACATACTTGGTTCTCGAAACACTAAATTAAATATAACAAGAATTACTTATTATCATTATGTACAATAATTGCTAAATCTTTAGTCATTATTCCATTTTCTACTGTCTAAATAACACTCTATTCCAAAGTTGTACAAAATTTGTGTAATTCTTTATTATTATCTAATTTTGCTCTATGTAAAAGTCCTCTTGTCCAAGCAAAAATACTTGCAATAGAATTAGTGGATGTTTCTTTTCCTTATTAATGCATTCTATAATGTCTAGTAACAGTTCCATGAGCAGCTTCTGCTTCTACTGATCCATCTGGACTAACTAAAACACTAGTCATCAATCCTAATGAACCATATCCTTAAGCAACTACATCTGATTGAACATCTCCATCATAATTCTTGCATGCCCAAACAAAACCACCTTCACTTTTAATCATATATGCAACCATGTCATCAATCAATCTATGTTCATACCATAATTTTTTTTATTCAAATGTTTATTTGTAATATTTTTCATAAATTTCTTAAAAGATATCTTTAAATCTTCCATCATATTTCTTTAAAATGGTATTTTTAGTTGATAAATACAAAGGATAATTACGATCAATAGCATATTTAAAACATGAATGTGCAAAATCAATAATTGATTCATCAGTATTATACATACCCATTGAAATTCCCTTTCCTTCAAAATCATATACAGGATATTTTGTGATTTATCCTTATTTATTAGTGAATACCATCTCTAATTTTCCAGGCTCACTTATTAAAAAATCTGTAGCTCTATATTAATCTCCAAATGCATGTCTTCCTATTATTATTGGTTCTTTCCAACCTGGTACCAATCTAGGGATATTCTTGATAATTATAGGTTCTCTAAACACTGTTCCATTAAGAATATTTCTAATTGTTCCATTTGGAGATTTCCACATTTATTTTAACTTAAATTCCTTGACTCTTGCTTCATCTGGAGTGCTATAATATGAATATTTAATAATTTTACATAGTAGCACATTTAATTCCTACCTTATACTTTTTAATTGCATTAGCAGCATCAATAGTAACTTTATCATCTGTCTTATCTCTATATTCCATTCCAAGATCATAATAATCAATCTTCAAATCCAAAAATGGAAAGATCAAATACTTTTTGATTTATTACCATATAATCTAAATTATATAAAAGATTTACTCTAGTCATTTCATCTCCATCTAATTCAACTACAGGAGTTTATACTTGGATCTTCATTATTTTATAATACTATTTAATAATATTTATCAATTAATTAATTAACGGAATGAATGTATATACAGGTACATCCTTTGATAAGACAATAAATCGAACTACTACACATTAATACTTAGTAAGAAAATATGGAAATAAATCTAATGAATAATATTTTAATTTTGAAGAAATACTAAATTAAATTTAAGATGTTTTTTGTATGAGTTGTGAAAGTTATGTTCCTTCAGAATAAATTAATATTCATACTCAAAATTGTAATGGAGAATGTGATTAATATGAATAAGTAGATTCTTTGCAAGCTAAATTATAAAAATGTAATTTTCTTATAAATAAAATCAAAAAGATGTTAAAAACCTATTCATCTGATTAATAGTATATCATTTAATATTTATAAATGTTATGGAAATGCTGTAGTAATATCATTTATACCTCAGATTATAATATGGTTTCACAATCATTAGATGATTTAGATTTATTTCAATAATACTTTGAAAATCAATAATAAGATATAGCTATTGAATAAGTCATCCAATAAATTTTGACTATTATAAGCAAGATAATGTAATTTTCAGAAAGAAAAGCTAGAATTTTGTAAAGCAATCAAAATAATGTGATCAATCATCTTAAAGAATCTATTGCAACCTCCTTGGCAAATGAAGGAGGATTGCAAAAAAAGCTTTAAGTTCATGATAATTAATTGAATAGATATAGGAACCCTTTTGAAAATGTTCAAAATAATATTCATTAATCACTTAAAGATGATTTTTAATCAAAATTTAAATAAACAAATAGATAATCTCTCTCTCCAATTACAGAAACAAGTTTAATAGAAAAAAGCAAAATAGGAAATTTTACTCCTAGAATGGAGGAATCAATGTAATTAACTTCAACAATGTTTCATAAAACAGAAGCTGATAAAAAAAATTAATTCTTTAAAATAGCTGCTTTTTTAAAAAACAAATTTCCCAAAAAATAATAAGTATAATAAGCCTTAATTATAGCTTTATATGATACAGCAAATAAGCTTAATATATAATAAAATTAATATGAAAACTACATAACCAATTTATATCAAAATATGTGATTAATTACTTATAATTATAGATTTTATTGAAGTTATATAAATGGATTATATTGTTACAAATGAAATTAAGTTTTAAATTAATTCAATCATCACTCCAACCACTTTCATCACTACTTTTTCTTTTTGCAAATTAAGTTATTCTTCTATTTTTCACATTAACTTCAAGCATAATTGATAGATCCTCCTTCTCCTTAGCATTCATATTACCAATATCCATCTTAATATCATGACCTTAAACTTTATAACCAGTTGAATTTTCAATTTCTTTAGCTAGATTTTTTTAATCAACCTAACTCTTTAAAATAGAATGAGGTTATGGTTTTTATTAAGTTTAAGTAGGAGGGTTTGTTAATTAATTTTAAGTTTGGCTTTATGGTTTTTACTGTTATGTTTGAGAGGGAGGCTATGATACCATAGGTTTGTTACCACCTTAACGAATAGGAGGAGGAGGAGGAGGTGGGGGAGGAGGTGGTGGAGGTGGAGGAGGTGGTGGAGGTGGTGGAGGAGGTGCACCTTTATTTGTACTTACTGTTTAAGGCTTATTTTATTATTATTATGGTTAAACTGGATTTGATTTTTGAGAAGGTTGATTTGCAACTTATTATTATTATTATGGTTTTGTCTAATTTTTATTTTACTAATTTGATTGAATTGGCTAGATAGATAAAAAATTAAGATACTGTATTTAATTAAGTTCTTTCACTAAATCTAGCTACTGTTTTAAAAATCTCTTTTGCTTTTGCTTTATCTTGAAGATCTTTTTTTGTAATTCCTGCATTTAAAAAGACTTCTATTAATACGGGTGGCAATTTGTCAATATCAATTTCACCAGTTTCTACATTCAAAGAAAGAGTATTTCTTTTAACATTTTATGGTGTCCCAATTTAAATTGGCTTAATAATTAATTTTTATTTTATACTTTTTCAACTTTTTCTTTACCAAAAAATGCTTTAAATTAATAAGAAAATGTGTCTTTTTCTTTTTCTTGTTGTTAATAAGCCTTTAAAAGCTTTTCCTCTTCTTTAATCTACAAGTTCAACTTTTCAAGATCTTTTTTGGTTGGGGCATATTATTTAATTTTTTATGTAACCCTTTATGCTTCTTATTCATTTATAAAAAGCATCCCAACAAATCCTTTGCTAAATGGAAATGCATAAAAATTAGTAAATCCTCTTACTGGAGCCCAACTATCAATAAATCCAAAATATAGTTCGACAGAGAATCTAACTTCTAATGAAGCTGGATGAAGTATTCTTAAATAGAATGCCTATTGATTTAAAATATTAAGTACTTTTCCTTCCCTTCTATCAATCAAAAATACTAAAATTCCTTCTACTCTACAATGATGAAATTTATGTTTTCCTTCCTCACAAGTGTAAAGATGTACAAAAGACATATCAAGAACAGTAGCTGTTTATTAATCACAACCTCCAATAACATCCTCTATAATTTTTCTTACTTTAGGATTCTGCAGAGATTATAGCATTCAACTTGATTGCGTAATGATTTTATAAACAAAATATAAAATTTAATATTCATTTTTTATATTACACTTTGCTTTTAACCTCTTTAATTAAGTATAATTCTTATTTATCTACATTTACACCTTCATTACATATTTTACAAGTTAATATAAAAGGTTATTATTTCATAATACTCATAGCATATTTTTTGAAACATTATTCATGAAATATATGTTAACAACTGATCTTTATAACACTTTAATTATTTTTTATTTTAGATATGCAAATTTTACACATGAATTTTTTAAGCCTAGATGAAGAGAAATACTATATCTATTATTTGTTTTCAGCCTTAGTTATAAAAAAATTACCATCACTTGGTCTTATGCTATTGATATTTCTAAATATTATACTCAAGAAAGTCGCATTCAAAAATGTCTTAGACCAAATTTTCTTTCTAATTTGTTAACAAAATTAATGTTTTTTTAATTTTTAATGGAATAAGCATCATAATTAATTAACCAAATATAATAATCACAGTAAAAATCAATTATATTGATTTGCTTTTCAACCCAAAGTAATAACAATCTTTTTTATATTTATCATTCAATAATTCAACAACATAAATAATTGTTAATGTTAGATTTGTTAAATAGATTATAACTAAACAAAAAATTAAAACTTTCAAACATTTTTATGATATTATAGATGTATATGTGAAAGTAAAATTATTTTGTTTAACTTTATAAAAATATCTTAATTCCATGCATGCCAATATAAAAACTAATAGGCAAAAAATAATTTCTAGAATTGTATATATTAGTTATTTATGATCTTACTCTATTTTTAAACAATTAATATCTAATGTAAGAATTAAGGCAATAATAGAAAATGTCAACATTAATAATAATAAATGCCACCAATATTTTCTTCTTATAAAATCATGTTCAGAGTCTTATTACATTTTTTATTCTTAATTACTTTAATTATATTAATATAAACAATTATATATGAATTCAATTAGGTAACCAGACATATACATATGCATCGAATTATTAATTTTCTATTTCATAATGGTTTTTCTTTATTCTAACTCTATTGAACCCATTCTTTTAATAAAATCTAGCTGCAATCTCATTATAAACAACCATGTCCAGATAGATATAAGAAAGTGTCTTATTGGACTCTAATACTCTCTTTTTTAACTATTCAATCATGTATTCTGCAATTCCCCTTCCCCTAAATTCATTGATAACTCCTATTGTCATTATGTATAGAGCATTTTTCGTTTAAAACAATGAACAAAACCATTATTTCCATGTCTGAGTCTATTGATATTTTGATTTACTCTGACGTGATTAATAAATCATTGCTCCAATAATATATTTTTCCTTTCTTCCTGTTGGGAATTTAATTTCTATTTCTGCTATAAGAGAGGAAGTCAACCCATTTAAAATAGCTAAATAAAATTGTTCACTGTAATTAATAGGGAACCATTCTTATTACAATAATTTAAGTTAAGCAATATCTCTCTTAGTTTGAATAGTTCTAAATTTAATATCTTTAAATCCTATGTCATCTATCTTAACATTTGCTAATACACTATGTATTTCAGCAATGTAACTAGTGTTACTTTAAGAGTTTGGAGGAAATGCCTAGCTCAATCTCTAATCTATTTATTGCATAGTTTAACTAGGTATTTAAAATTTTTTGATTAAATCGTAAATAAATTTATTTCTAAAAATCAAAAAAGTAGGATGCTTTTATCTACATCTAAGTTGTCAACTTCAAAACTAGGAAAGTCCTAATTATAGAGTCCTTAAAGATCTACTGTTAATTATCTTTAATAAGACCTCGATTCTCCATCCAGATAAAGAATTAAGTTATTATCTGATAAATGGAATCATATCCAAAATGGAATAGATAAGGATAAATTAGAAAAGAGAGAAGTTCTCGAGGAAAGAATTAAAATTATTGAAGATGTTCTCTCTTCTGAAAAACCTAAGGATGAATAAAGATTTAAAATCCTTAAGGATCAAGTATTAAAACTTCAAGATTATGCTCACAATCAAAAATCTGAAAGAGAAGTATATCATTAAATTTATAAATTTAAGGCCTTTGATGATAAAAAAGAAAAAGATTTTAGAACTCTATCTGATAATGTAGCTATATCTTTTGATCAAGAAAGAAATAGCAGAGGATAAGCTGAAACAAAACTATAAAAATAAATTGATGAAAGATTCTAATAAATCACTCTCACAATCACAAGAAATACTCATTAATATGAAGATAGGAGTTAAGTTAAGATTGCTGAAGTCTTACAATAAGTATAATTAGTAAAAAATTAATTAGATTAAGAAAGGAGATCAAGGTAATAATAATAATTATTTTATAGAGAAGAATCATCTGAATCATTATCTGAATAAATAGATTCTGAAATTAATAAATTTTCAGATTAACTACTAATAGAAAAGAAAGTTAGAGAAGAAACTCAAGGAAAAATCTTTAGAATGATAGAGGATGTTCATGGAAAATTATAATAAGATATTAATCTTGAGAGAAGAGAAAGAGAAGCTACAACTGAAGCTTTATTAAAATTATTGGAAGATGCATGTATCAAAATAGATAAAAATTTCAGATCTTTTTGAGTTTAAATAAATAAATAAATAAAATCATTAAATATATATTTATTTTTTAAGTTAATGATAGAAAAAAAATTTATTATATTTTGTGTTCATCATATTACTTAATCATATACTAGCATAATTATTAACTTTCCAGACAGAACCCTTACCTGTTTTTGCAAGGAAATTTAAATTTTTGATCTAAGGTTTATTTTGAGAAGAATTCAAATTTTATGGAGTGACTTACATAGTTTTTGTAGTGTTAATTAATAATTAAGGTGGAAAATAACTTTTTGTAGCTAATGGTAAATCAAGAATAAGTTTTTATTTGAGGTTTACATTTTTTAAGGTTTTAATCGATTTTGATGGTTATTTCTATAGATTAGGTATCAATTTTAACATTTTTAGAGCTATTTTCTCTTAGTTTAATGAAGAAATTTACATCAAAATATGCTTGAGTTGTTTAAAAAGAAGAACCATTGCATTTTGTATTATTATTAGATTTTGAAGCTTAAGGGATAAAAAAAGCATAGTTTCTTTACTTTTTTTTCTTTTCCTTATTTTCATCAATAAAGAAATCTTAAATAATTTTTTATACTTAACGAGATTCATTATATTTAGGTTTTTCAATAAATTAACTAGATTAATCAATTGATATTTTTCTGGTTTTTCTTCTTTTATTAGGAAATGATGTATTTATCATTCTAACCTACGAATTTTGAGTTTCTGGTCGTTCTATTATTTCATTTTGAATATGATTAGTTGAGGATGTATAAGTTTTTCTAATCTAAGCAATTTATTATTATATTGAATTGTTTTATTTATGCCAAGGTCCAAAAAAATCTAGATCTTACACTTGAATTGAATCTAGAGATTGAATATATCATCTTATACCATCTTTATAATTTAAGGTCTCAAAGATCTAAGAATCTCTGCTAACTGGCTGAGTTTTTTACATATTTAATTATAAAATATATTTTTGGTGGTGTTCTATAAATATTACAATTTACATATATATACAAATCATAAACACAGATCATAAATTGAAGTTTTCTAGTTCTAATTTCTAAGTCAACATTTAATAAACAAATTGACCTTGAAAGATATTAATTTATAAGTTACCAAATTTATATTATTGTATTTCTTATAAGAGTTATTAATTATTAGTAATTTTTAAATATAATTCTTTTTGTATTTCTATATCAGCACATTTAAAAAAATTTTAAACAACATAATTACCATAAGCATTAGTTGATAATCTTACAAATAAAACTTATTAATTATTATGACTCAGTAACAATTCCATAATTTTTAGTTTAAATTAATTATCAGAACATTTTATAGCACAATCTACTACATTACTAAAATTATTATATTAATAATAACCTTCCAAATTTATTTAAACTATATTCTTCTAATTTTTCCATTATAATTTATTAAATGATATTTTTGATAATAAGAGGTCCTTCCTTTAATAGCTATTAAATTATATAATTTCCATATTGAGATATAATTAGTTCATAAGCTAACCTCATTATTTCAATTAAAATTTTCATTTATCTATCAGGATGATTATTAGAAATTGAGACAGCTTTTTAAATTATTCTACAACCAAATGAATTAATCACAAGTTTATTAATTTATCCTTCAATTCCATCTAATACCCATAAACTTATATCACTCTCCATTAATTATATTAATTTTTAAACTACATGATTTCCATGTTAATCAATTATTAAATCTCTAACTTTATTTTTTATAGTATCAAATAATATTGGAAAATCTGTTGTATTATGTGCATTTTATAATAATTTTTATAGAACTCTACATCCATATTAATGAAATGCTAATTATGAAGAGTGTGGTTATAAAATGCTTAGTATTTTTTATTATTGAATTAAAGTTCCTCTTATTAACAAATATATTACCATATTCAAGAAGATTTTAAATTACATAATTTCCAAAGACATCTTTTGAAAGAGACAATAACCCCTTTTCTAATTTATTAAAAATTTATTCTCTGATTGTCTTAGAACCTTCTTAAAAAGCTTTTTGAATGTTTCTAGCCCCATTTTAATCTTTACATTTAGATATCTTAAATAGTATTGTAATTAGATACTAAATCTCCCTCTAAGGAGGTTTCATCGTCTAGATTAAATTGTGGTACATAATCATAAGATTTTGGTATTAATGCTGAAGTAGGTGCACTTTATTATACAAGGACTTTGGTGAGTCTTAAATCTAAATCATAAGAACTAAACTATTAAAGATAAAAAACTTTTGTTTTTGTTTTACTTGAGGAGAATATACTTTTGGATAATATATTGGAGATTAATTATGATTCTAATTAATTTATAGAGTAGTAGGTCTATTTGAAGTAAATGATTTTTTGATTTTGGTGACATTTTCAAAACTATCTAAACTTTGGAGAAAATTAAGATACCATCTAAAAGATCTCCTATCATATCCTTTTCATTAGGATCTTGGTTCATTTGTAATTTTGAAAAAGGAATTAATATTTAAAAAATAAAATATTATTATATTGTTAAGTATATAAACAAAGTAAAAATAGTTATACATATATTAAATCAATATTAATACGTAAATATATATATTTTTAATTAAATCATATGCCATAAAATAAATATATATTAGAATATCAGAGAAATAGAAAATAAATTTAGAAATTTATTTATAAATATATTTATTAATGGGTATGTGTTAAAATAAGCCAGCAGAATATACATCAAAAATTCCAAGTTTTAAAGATGAAATGCCAGAAGCAGACGATGAAGATGAAAAAATTGGAGAAACTACATAATTACCAATTGAAGGTGAGACTACTAATTCCAATCCAAAGTTAAAATTAGAAGATTTTGATTTAATTAAAGTTATTGGTAGAGGATCATTTGGAAAAGTATTACTTATTAAAAAGCGTGATGATTAATAATTATTTGCAGTCAAAATCTTAAGGAAAAAAATGCTGTCTAAAAAGAAATAGCAAGATTAAGCTATTAAAGAAAGAAAAATCATGTCATTAATAAATAGTCCTTTTATGGTGAAATTACATTATGCATTTCAAAGTCCTTCACGTCTTTACATGGTTATGGACTTTATGTAAGGAGGTGAACTCTTTCTACATCTTAGGAAGAGATTCAAGTTTCCAGAGGACTGGGTTTAATTCTATGCTGCTGAATTATTGGTTGCAATAGATATACTTCATTAATCTAATATTATATATAGAGATTTAAAACCAGAAAATATATTATTAGACAAGAGTGGACATATAGTATTAACAGATTTTGGATTATCAAAATTGGGATTTGAAAGAAATGAAATGACTTATTCATTTTGTGGAACACCAGAATATGTAGCCCCAGAAATTTTATATCGTATAAATTTAATTATATTTATATAGAAAGGGGACACACATTTGTTGTTGACTTTTATAGTTATGGTGCAATGATTTATGAGATGCTTTGTGGAACTCCTCCATATTATTCAAAAGATAAAAGAGAAATGCTAAAAAATCGATGTGAGAAACCTCTTGAAATGAAATCTTGTTTTTCATTTTATGCAGCATCATTATTGAAAGGATTATTAACAAAAGATGTATAAAAAAAATAAACTATGATTAGCCAGGATTGAGATTAGGATCAAATGGAATTTAAGAAATAAAAAAGCATAATTTTTTTAATGGAATTGATTGGAAATTAGTAGAGTAGCGCAAATTATAACCACCTATTATTCCAAAAATATAACATGTTTAAGATTTATCTAATTTCGCTCCTGCTTTCTTATAATAACCTATAATGGAGACTCCAGAATCAATATAAAATGAATATTTCGAAGGATTCACATATTAATAGGTAATATGAAAGCATTTGAATTTATTATAACAAAGGTTGTTTATATCATAATATTTTATATGTCATAATATTTCAACCTTGCTCTTAACCTACTTATAATTCTAATTCAGCTATTCTTCTTTAAAGACCAAGTAATTATTATTAAAGTGCAGTCTTTTCACCTTTCAAAGCAGTTATTTATTATTATAATCTTGAATTTTCAGCCTTTTAATGAGCAAAATGTCTAATATATAAAAAATGAGAAAGAATACCTTTTCATTTCCTCTTCTATTCTCATTAGTTCATTTGTAAGTGTTTTTTTAACATCTTAGGTTTTCATACTCAAAACAGATTCTAAAGTGTCCTTTTCTGATTTGAGTATTTGAACTTCTTTCTTATGAAAATTCATTTCATCTTAAATTCCTTTGATTGTTTCCTTTAATTAAATAAATCAGTCTACCTCTAAACTCATAAGTTTGCCCTTCAAAGATGCTGGATTTTGAGATCCTCCAAAACTCTATCCAGTTTAGCCTAAGTCATTTTTAGGTAATGTATTTCCTGCAGCAGACTTAAATGCATTACTCATTAATAAAATTATTAAATATAATTTATATATAAAAATAACCAAATTGACATACATGTACTTTACATAATTATAATATATTTTATCACCATTCTTTATCAGCTTTCTCTGCATCACCTTATTGTTCTTATTCTTCACCATCACCTTCTTATTTGACTTAATTATCTGCAACACCCAATTAATCATTGGTAATTTCCTTGTGATAGAACAAATCAACCAAGACATCCCATTCTTCATCTATAATTATAGCTTATTATCATTACCTTATCTTAATTCACCTCTTAAGATCTTGACTTCTCTGGCCAATAACCAATAGATCATTGAAATTGACTTTGTTTCTCTGTTTCCAACTGGAATTGGGATATCAACATATTATAAGAGGTTATCTGAATTGCATAAAGCAATAACTGGAATGTTGACGTAAGATGCTTCAACAATGGCTTATTTATCCTAAGAAAATTTTAATGGAAATATGTACCAAATGTGGATCTGTGACAATCAATAATTATGGTTCTTGGAATTTTCCACTGGCACTGTTGGATTGATTTGTCAATGTACCTGGTGTCCATCTTGATGATCTAGTTGAGCTAGCATGAGTATAGTGAGCGAATTTAATGACTGCTCTTTATCCAATAGGTCTTGATGAGACAACCTTAAATACTCATTATTTATAATACCATGACATCTTGAGGTTATTCAACTGCTGCAATAACTCTGGCAGCCAATTTAATGTGCTACCAGGTTTCTTCTAAATTGAGAATGTATGCACCATTATCACTTCTATGTGATACATATCTCTTCATATCAAATTGGAGTTGTTTTGTTCCAATGTGGCACTAAAAGAAATCATATACATAACATTTTTACTTGTGAAGCAATCAATCTCTTAATGTCTTATTCTTTTCTGCTCATGCAATCAAATATAAATATCTATTTTTTTAAATATTTAACAAATCTCAATTATTTCTTAATCAATTATTTCTAACAAGTATTTGTACATCCAAATATTTATTATAAATCATTTAGACTTAGAATAATGCATACATAATATAACAACATCAATAACCCATACTATTTCTTACTAATATTTTAAGAAATTTTTAAATAAAATTGAAATATTTTTTTATTAACTCTTATTTTCTTTATATCTATAATTGATTATAGTATTTTATCTCTAAGAATGGTAAAACAGAATTTATCTAAGCTTGTAATCTTTAATTATTTTAGTTTAAATTCACTATAATAAACTCTAAATCTATATGGTAATTTAAACTATAGTTAATTTTATTTACTAATTATTATATAAATAAGTATTTTAATATTATGAGATCATTTTGATTAAATCAAGCTTATATTGATGTAGGATCAAAAACAATTATATTCATATAATGTTATTTGTTATCATATTTTAATATTTTTTATAATAATTTAAATGACTAGAAATCAAAAAAAATGAGACACATATTTGAATCAAATTATAAAAGCATATGATATCAGCAACAATTACAAAATATAAATACTATTTTATTAGTTTTATTAATTTTCTAATATATCCTATGTATCATTTAATGAACTCTGATTATTATTCTTAGTAACATTTTTTCTTTATTTTTAATTATATTGTGGGTGACTTACAAAAGAATTGCATAATTTACATGTCTATGTAGAATCTTGCCAAAAAGAATTAATTGAAAAGATTTTACATTTATTTAGATCAATGTCTTTATAATCTTATATATCTAATTCTTTGCATTATCCATTTGACCATTTACATGGAATAAATTATTAATTTGGAATTTCAGATATAAAACTTTTACATTTGGATTTAACAGTTATCTAACTACATTCTTAAGGAATACATTATTATGAATGGATATCATAATAACACATTGTATTACAAAAAGATATACTCTCACTATAATCTTAACAGGAAGATCTAAGATCAAAACAACCATTCATAATACTATAAGCACATCCACTTCCATATCCATCATATTTTATGCACGTATCTTAAGTATAAGATGAGCAATTTAAATTATCAACCTTATGTGCACAACCTTAAGGTGATGATGAACATTAATCAGGATTACAGCCAATATAGTCTGTACATTCATGCGGTTTACATTAATTAGCAAACCAAAAGCAATCTAAGTAATACATTGTATTTTAACACTCATTCATTAGCAATTCACTGCATTAATAAGAATAACTTTAGCAAACTTTTAAAGTTTCATTCCATTTACATTGAAATTCTGTCATAATTGCATTACAATATTCTTCTTATTGATATTGGCATTATAAATCTATACAAGAAGATCCATTCCAAGAACAATAATAACTCAAGATACATTATTCCTCATCATATTCATTACAAGCGCATCTGACAGTCAAAGAAAATTTGATACATTTACAAAGGACAAATAATTGTAAAATAACAGGTATTTTCATTAATTATTATAATATATTTTGTAATAAAAAAATGTAATTCTTAAAAATACATATTTTATATAAAAATATTGATCTAATTAGTTTCTAAATTAAGATATAATATTTATAGTATAATATTTTTGATGATGTAATTCAAAAGGTAATTTTGGCATCTCTAAAAATATAAAACTATTTAATAAAATAAATGATTTTAACAAAGATTTTTTAATTCATTTTAATAATCTCTTTATTTTATTATAAGATTTTAAGATATTTATTAATTAATATAACTTAAAATTTAAGTTTATATTCAAAATTATCAGAAATTTTAAGAAAATGATTAATGCAGATGATGATTCGTATTTCTGAAGCTATAAGAATCTTGATCCTCATTTTCTATACTTCTTTGTCCAAATATGATTTCATATTGAGCATCATAAATATTAGTTCTTTTATCTGGACACATAAAATATAAATTAGCATATATACTTATTAGAATCACCTAAATAAAACAAAATATATATTACTTTGATACCAAGTAAAATGTATGATATTATTACTTCATACATTTAAAAACTATGTTCTAATTAAAAAAAGAGAACACTATTAGTTGTCCAAGGATTAGTGTAAATAACAAACCATATGATATCGAAAATAATAGTTACAATAATCATAGCTGAAATTATTTTAAAGTGTAATAATGATAGTAACTTATTATTATTCATATAATAGTATAAGCTATAAAATAATACTATTAACTATTATTAAAGAAGTATTTTACATCTAAAAATTGTGTCTTAAATAGATTAGCAATTAATATTAAAATGAATTAAATCAATGTTAAAGCCAATGCTAATTTAACCCAAAGTTATGCTTGGGAAGTATCATAAAAATGAAAATCATGGATTTATTATATAGTTGATTGTTCAGTTGCAAGATATCTTTCATTTGGTTAATTTTGATGTTTTTCATCAAAAGGATAGAAGAGTTAAAGAATATCACTTTTATATTCATTAATATCTTAACTTAAATCATCAATGACTTATTAATTTTCTTTAATAGATTCTTTAAAATATTTAGTCTAAAATAAAGTCTAAAAATACTTATGAATGTATCCATTAAACTCTTAGATTAATGATGGAATAAAGAACAACACCATACTTATCCTTTAATTCCAATTTAATATCATGAGGTTTTTAATCATAAAACTCTTTTAAATTAAGTTTTGCTTATCCACCAATTTCTTGTTTCTCTATTAATTCTTCATCCAATATTACTATATAGATTTCCTCTTCTCCAGTATTAATATTAAATTCAAATTTTTCATTCCAAATAGGATTTTATCTAATTGTTGGTTTGGTGGAGTATTTAGTATCATCACAACCTAAAATGATTGCCACTCTAGTATTTCCTGGAAATTAAATTTTAGCATCAATAATTGTAATTCTAACTTTGCTTCCCTTACATATTTTATGAGAATTATATTCTTCAATAGTTTATAATTACTATAAATGTAATTGATCATCATCTAATTTTAGTTATTTTTATGCAACTTATTATTCTAAAATAGATATTTTATTTTTTAATGATTATAATGCTTCCATTAATATTTAAATGAAATCATTTATTGTAATTTAACCATTATCAGTTTTCTACATTCTTGTATAAAGTTATTCAAATAAAACTCTGTCATACATTTTATTTGATTGCTAATCCAAAAATCTAATAATAGTTTCTTTACTCATAGGTTATAAATGATTTTATGATAACTTATTGAATACTTGCTACACTTAATGAATTATTTGAGCTTGATTCATTTAACTGTATTAAAATTATTAATAATTTTAACGAATAATATTAAAAACTAAATGAGACCACAATCTCCTAAGATTTTACAAACACAAACTATCGCTACTACTACTCGTTTAATTAGTTCTCCTCCTAGAGATACACGCTAAGATTCATGTAGTAGATTGGCCAAAATCACAACTTGTTAAACTAGACCAAAAGCTACTATTACAACTACAACATATAGACCAGCCATTGAAACAAGAACTGTTGTACTTTGTACTGATAAGAAGTGTTAAGGACATGTAAATTAAATTTAAATTAATTAAGGAAAATCTCATAGAACAATTAACATAAGATAATAATAAATTAAATTAACGTATATATGAGTTAGAAAATTAAATTGATAAGTATGATGGTGAATAATAAACTTGGATGAGTACAGCAATTGAAATAGAGAGTATGAGAAAATTACTAGAAGAAACTTAAAAGAATCATTAATAAGAAGTCTAACATTTAAATACTGAAATTTATAATCTTAAATCTAAATGTTAAAATTAAGAAGATAAAATTAAAATAATAACATAATAACATCAAAATTTAGATGCCAATTATTTAACATTATAATAAGATATGGAAAGATAATAATTTATAATTCAAGATAAAGATGAATAATTATCAACCTAAGAATATAGAATATAAGATTATGAAAAGTAACTGTAAGTTGGAGAAAATGTAATTGAAGAGAGAAATTCTTAAATTTCTATTTTATTAGATAAAATTAAATAATATGAATAAGAATATATTACATCAAATAATGTTATTCATTAATTGAAATAAGAAATATCATAAAAAGATATACAAAATTAATAATTATTATAATAAAAAGATTCATTAATCTCTAATTATAAAGAAAATCTTGATCTTTTGGAATAAAAGGTATAATAGGATCAACATCTTGATGCTCAAAATATATAAAAATTAGCTGAATTTGAAAATCAAAATTAAGATTTAAATAACAAAGTTTTAGATTTACAATAATAATTATAAGATATATTAGAATAGAATAATCATTTAAATGAATAAGTAATGTTAAATGATTAAAAAAATGCTAATCTATTAAATTCAATAGAGAATCAGACAAAACAATTAGAATTCTAATTATAAAGTTAAGCAGATGAACATAAATAACAAAATAATGAACAATTACATCATTTATAATAAGAATTATATAATACCATATAGAAAGTTGAAGATAAGGATAATTTAATAAATTCTTTAAATGATTAAGTTGTTAATCTTACTACTAAAATCAATGATAAAGAGAATAAAATAGAACTGTTGTAATATGAAATAACATAACATTTTGCTTAAATTGCTGAGTATAATAATAAAGAATTATATAATTATTTGATTATTAATGAAGAATTAAAAAAGGAAATATAGTTAAGGTTTGTTAAAGAAAAATAAATCTAAAATGATTTAAATAAAGAAATAGAAAATAATAATCAATTATTAGAAACTATAAAATAATTGAATGATAAAATTTAAGAATTAGATAAATCAAAATAGAATTTAGCTAATGATCTGTAAGGATAGAAATAATAATTAGATGATTAAAACTTAGAAACTCAAAAGTTATCTGAATAAGTGTAGATATAATAAAAATAGATTTCAGATAGTTTATAAGAAAAAGAAAGTGTAGAAGACAGTGTAATATAATTAAAAGAAGAAATTAATTAATTATAGGAATGTTTATTATAATCAAAAAGAACAGAAGAATAAATTGTAAATGGTAATTAAGAATTGTAAGAGTAATTATTATTGCAAAGTTTAGAAGTATAAAGACTTCAAGGTGAAAATAAAAATTTAAAAGATAAATTGGATTAATAATTTGAAGAAGTTAAAAAATTGAATGAATAATCAACATAAGTCATTGAAAATAAATAATTATTATAAGAAGTTTAGGATAAATAAATAGAATAATTTAAGGTTATAATTTAAGATTTAAATATTTAATGTTAAAAATTAGAATCAGATTTAAAATAATAAGTAGAACTAAATGAAGAATTAAATAAGAAAAATTCATTTTGTTAAGTTTAGATATCACACTTATAAGAGGTGGAATCACAATTAAGATATCTAAATGAATAGACTAATCAATAATAAAAAAATTTATAATAAGAATTAGATAATAAAAATGAAATTGAAAATACCCTTAAATTTAAACTTGAAACTTTATTAGAAGATATTAAAGTTAAATAAATGTAATTAGTAGAATTAGATTAATAATTATAAATGGTAGAATAAACAAATTAAAAACAATAATTAAATTTAGAGGAGAAAATTAATTATCTTTAAAATGAAGTTGAAATGTGGAAAGAGAAATTTGTTATTTTAAATAGAGATTATCATAGAGTTTAAGAAGATTTGATGATGGTTTAAGCAGAATTTGAAGCATTTAATAAAAGAGGATTAGAGATTAAGAATATTAAAGTAATATCATTAAATAAATATATAATAGGAATCAACTTATTTTGAAGTAAGAAAATCATCATTATATAAAGAAAATATTGACATTAAAGCCAGTTAAACTTCTATAGGCAGACTTTTCAAAGAAAACGTTTGAAATGACATTATATATACTAGATTAACAATTTCTATAAATTACAATATTAATTTAATTTTTTAAAACAATATTTTTTATAATTAAATCTAGAATTTATCTTCATCCTAGTGATAAAAATTTATCCATTTTTTAAGCATTAGTAAACATTTAATTACTGGCATTCTTTGAGAAAACACTTTTTGGTTATGTGGAACTGAAATTAAAGATAATATTACTATAATTCAGCATTTCCAGGCATTTAGTAGGCTGGCATCAAAGGATTTGTATATCTTTTACTCACAATTCCCTTTTTAAGTGATCCTGCTTATACACCTTCAATGTCTTAGACATTATTAATTTATCTATAATCTTTTCTATCACTGGATCTTAAAAAATGTTAAGAATGAGATCCTGCTTATGCACCAATAATATCTTAGGTAACTAGAGTAGAGGATGCACTTTTATTTATAGTTATTGGATGCAGTTACTTTGTTTTACTGCCTTCAACAAAACCTATTTCGATTTTCTTTCTAAATTAAGAATTCTTAATACCCATCTTCATCTCTATGAGTATAGACTGGTTCAATTGGATTTGTATTTCTTATGTATTTATGTATCATATCATTGTTAATATCTTTGACTAATAGGGAATTAACACCATCTAGAAATTTAGTAAAAGAAAGACTTATACCTTTTTATACATGTAATTATTTTGAATGTGAGCCTTCAATATCAGGCAAAGGGATTGGTTATTTTTTTAATCTTGGATTAATTATTGATGGCTAAGTTCCTTCAATATCAGTGACATTATAGCTATCTCTAATAAATTTAGGATTATAAGGTTCAGCCTATTCATAAGAGGGAATTTTGTAAATTGGTTCAAGGGGATCGATTGGTTAACGATTAGTCTAAAATTTACAGATTTATGGACGTGTTCCTTTAATATCATCAATCATTAATTGATTATCTGATCTGTTTGTATATCTGATTAAAGGTCTAGATTTAGTTCCTGGAATATCATCATCTCGATTGCAAAATTATTCTTTATTGATATATTGATAAGGCTTTAATTTAGGAGCAGCTCCATCAATGCCTTCTATTGACATAGTTGATTATGCTCTATTATCATAAATAAACTCTCTCTTTTAATTTTCTCATTTATTCAATAATTCATACTTATGGTAGATAGATTCATTAAATCATTTCTATTTGGAAATGGCCAATTATATGGATCTGATTGCATTAAGTTACAAGATAAATATAAAAATTATTATTATAAGTGTATATACTATAATCCAGTTATCTCTGTTTAATTTAAATATTTATAAAGATAGAATGAAATTTAATAATGAAAATGTTTCTCTGATAATTGTATAATTATCAAGAAAAAGACTTATAGAAATTAAATTTATGAACTGAATATATAATATAATAATTAATCAAATTCCTACTTTTGATTTAACATATTATTCGAAACTGGGTTAAGTTAATAAACCAAGAGCCTACTTACTAATTTCAATTTCTTTATTGTATTCAGTGACAGTTCTATTATATAAATCAGTTTCAGAAGCATAGTTATCATTTTCTGCTTGTAATTAAGCTTAGAGGGTTGCTCTATCATCCTTTCTTTATCCTACATAGACAATGGTTTCTCCTAGTTTTTCTATATATTTTATTAAATTTAAATACATTCATTAGCAGCTAATTCTGAGTTCTTTATCATAACTGCTCTTTAGAATTCAGCAAATTCTTTTTCTAATTAAGTAACTCTTTCTGCAAATTTAGTTTCTGCAGCATTTTCATCAGCAGTCTCTTGATTAAGTGAATCAACAAATTAGACTCTTAATTCATTAAAGATTTTAACAAGCTATAATTAATTTAATATTTTACTTATTAAAGAGAACCTTAATCAGCGAAATTTTATTCAGTTGCTAATTCAAGAAGTGCTCTAATGATTGGTGCAAATGATGAATGATTTTAGAATGATGTTTAAATTCTATTAAGATTTGTTTAGACTCTCTTAAATTAAACAAGGGATGGATTTGTAATCTATGATAATAATCCTAGAGATTCATCAACAGCACCAATAGCTTCATTGATTTCAGCAATATTAGATAAAAATTATTCATGTTATTTCTTTCTATTAACAGTTTCTCCATCAAGGATTCTTCTGTTTTCTTCAATGTTTGTTTTCAATTATGCTAAAGCAGATTAAAATCTCTCTTTTTAAGGAATAAGAACATTATCAATAAAATCTTCACCATTAAAGATATCTAATAAAAAAGATTATATGAAAATACAATACCTCTATCAGCATCTTAAATCTCTTATTCTAATCTAGTCACATCACGATTATGCTCATCTGTTCTTTTGGAATAGGCATGATTAATATCATCTAATTCCTCTTCTAATTATTCAATTAATTGATTAATAGCTTCTACTAATTCTGTAAGTGCACCACCACTTGATAATTCAACTTCAGCAAAATCAACTATAAATGATGCCCATTAAGATTCTTTTAATTTCTCAAGTGCTTATGTTGTGGCAACATTGTTGAGAGATATTTCAACACAAAAGACACTCAAGATAAGACAAGCAATTAAAGTACTTTTCATTATTTTATTTAATTAAAAATCAAAAACGACTATCATTATTAAAATAATTTGTGCAAATTTTATAAATTCTCTCTGGCTTTAGTTTTCAATTAAATATTTTCCTAAATCATCAAATTCAATTCCTCCTAAGTTTGCTATAATTAAGACCTCATTTCAACTATTTATTTATCCTTTTATTTTATTGTAATTTCATTTTATTTATCAATTACAAAGAGTTATTTCTCTATATTTTAATATTAAACTAAGAGTTCTCTAATTTTTTCATCTTTTTTTATTAATTCTTCCTTTGCATTATTCAACATTTTAACTAATTCTTATAATTAACTCTCTTTTTCTTACATTTCTAATTTTAATCCATTAATTTCTCTATCTTATTTAATTTCTATTTCTTCAATCTCTTTTTCAAACATAGAAATCAATTATTTTTTATCTTTTAAATCTTTATTTTTTTAATCATATTCTTCTTATATTTGTTATAATTAATTTTCTAATTCATCAATAATCTATGTTTATCTATCATACTTTTTCTATAATTTTAAATAATCATCTGAAGCATTACCTTCTTAATTTCTTAATTAATTTAATTATTATTTTAATTCATCTATTGTATCATTTTTATCATCCAACATTTTATTTTTAATTGTTAAATTTGTTTATAATTCATCTACTAATTATTCATTTTAAATTTTTTATTTATTTTATACTCTTAATCTATCATTTTCTTGATTAATTGTCTATAATTCATCATTTTTTAATCTCAATTCTCTATCAAATTATTATAATTTTGTTTAAGCTTCAAGTAATTATTCTTAAAGAATATTAATATCTTTTTGCAATCCTGATTGAATAATTTGATGTTCTCTTTTAGCTAAATCTTTTTCTTAACAAAATTCTTAAACCTCTCTCTTTAAACGAATTAAAGCTGATTACAATTCTTTTATTAAACTCTCTTATTCTTATAATCTACCCTACAATATTTTAATTTCTTAATTCTATTGAATTTCTATACGACATTTCTCATCATATTATAATTTTAATTATTTAAATTTTTCCTTATTTTATTATATATATATACCATATTTTCTTAAAACAAATTTCGAAATTCATTTTCTAATTAATCTTACATCAATTTACTCTCTGTTTCTAATTCTTACAATTATTATTCATGTTAATTTTACTATAATTAAAGCTTTTATTCATATTCATGCATGATTTATTATAATTAAATCTAAAATTATTATTCATTCTCTTTTTGAGAATTTTCAAATTTAACTTCCCATTCTCTACATATTTCTAATAATTCTTATATTCTCCTTTTTAACTATGAATTATCTTAATATAATGATCGATTTCTAATATTATTTTATATTAATACTCTTAATTAATCTATTCAGATTTTTATTATAATTACTCCTATCTCATAAGTGTTTAACTTGCTTATTCAACAGCATTCTTATGAAATTCTTATAATTATTTTTCTGATTCCTTTAATTAGATTTTGTATTCATTTAATTTAAAATCCTTTTCTTAATCTTTTACTTTTTAAATATTTTATTATTCAATTAAGATTTAATTTTCTTTACTTAATTGACCATTTAATTATAGTAATTCACTTATTTTATTTTATAATTATGTTATTAATTCATCTTTTCTTTCTTTCTTGTTAATTAAATCTTTTTATTATTATTTATCATATTCATTTTATTCATTTAAAGACTCTATTTCTCTTCTAAATCTTTTATTTTCTTAATTTAATTCTTAATTAAACTTATTTAAATCAATAATCTCTCTTTCTAAATTTGAACATTTACTACTCCAATATTTTTCATTGCACTCAAATTTATAAATTATCTCTTTATTTTATTAAGATAATTCCTTCACTTTCTACTATAATTAAATCACTTCAACTCTCATTTCTGCTTCCTTCTCTATATTTACCTATTACTACTTTGGTAATTTAAATGTAATATTATTTGAACCATCTCTATCATTTTCTTATAATTCATTTTTTGGTTTATTATCAACATTAACTATTTAAGGTACATATTTGATAATCTATTTATAATATAAATTTAAGTTATCGCAAATTGGATTCTTTCTTCTATCACTATTAAAGAACACATCTTATAAATTAATTCCTTGCAGATATTTAAGTTCATTTAAATCAGCTATACTATTACTTCTTAAATCTAACGATTTCAATTAATAGCCTTATTATGTGAACTAGAATAAGTTCAATTCTCATACAATTTATAATGGTCCCAATAAAGTTATCAAATTATAAGATAAATTAAGAACCCTTAATGATCTCAAACCTTCACAGTTTATTACTTTGATTCTATTTGATTATAAATTCAAGACTTCAAGTTAATTTAGTGTTTTAAGATTCATTGCCTAGATTGAATTCTATGATAGATTCAACTATTTCAATTATCTAAATTGTTCAATCCCCTAATTTATAAAAAATTTAAATACTTGCATTGATATAAGATCTGGACTATGCATTATTCTTAAACTTAACATTTAGGCATTCTAAAGTTCTCTTATATCCTTAATACTGGAATATTTAATGTTAAACATAGTTTTTTCAGCATTTGGATCAAAATCATCATCATCTTCCATTTTTTTCAAAATTTTTTAATTTAATGTAGTTAGAAAATAATATAATATATCATAAAGAAGAAATAGAATACTTGTAAAAAGACATTTATACAAATCTTCATTCAATATTTGAATATATAAATAAGACATAGGAAGTATATTGAGGGATTGGATTAATGATAAATTATAAAAAAGAAGAGAGGAGAGAAAATCAATTAAATAAGTATTAGGATTTGTTTTTATAAGTGGTTCTTATTCTGAATGATAAATATATTATATAATTGATTGAGATAGTAATTTAATGAATTAATTATTAGAATAAGTTATTTCGATTTAAAATGAGTTTTATTAACAATCAGATAATTCAATTAATCAACTTTTAATTTAAGATATCAAAGAGAAATTAATCATTTATTAAGTATTGCAGATTTTAGAAGATTAGAAGGAGGAAGAAACTCTAGAAAAATATAAATTAAATGTCCATTTTATTTTAGATAAATTGAAACTTGATTTTAAATAAAAATAAATATTTACTAAATTAACAATTATTTGGTTTATATATATAATGATAGCTACTTAAAATATCAAATCTTAAAATTAGGTATCTCTTAAATTTCAGAGTCACTATCAGTGCCATTTATTTATTACTTTTATGGTTTAGCATTTACTATATATTTATTCCCTAAATCCACTGAAGAATCACCAGAATCTTCACTAAAATCTTCTACTTGTACTAATGGTCTAGTTTATTTATTTATTTGTGATTATTGTACTATTGTTTATTAATTCATCTACTATTATTAATGCTACTTTTATTCAGATATTGGTGTCAATGCTTATCTCATTGGTGATACTACTTAAGTTGCCTATTTTTCTACATGAACTTGTTAAACAACCTATTGATTTTATGGGGGTTATTAGGTTGAACTAGTATTTTGTTGATTAGATGTAAATGGATCATAAAAATTACCTTTACCAAATAACAACTTATATAATTATGTATCTTTAATAGGATCATGTTTATTTA